ACGAAACCATTTTACACATAATAGGGGAGAACAATACATAAATTGGGGGAATAACACAAGAAACTTAACAACACACTACAACAGCTCACCTCGCTGTCCTGCGTGATCTGCACCTGCTCCCCCTGGGGCACCTGGGCGATGTGGAGATGGCCCTGTGGGATCCACAACAAAAGAAAACACCAAGGAGCATCAGAGGAAAATCACAGCTCCAGGAAGCAGCTCCTGCCCTGCAGGCAGCAGAGTTTCATGGAGAGAAGCAAAACGTGCAATGAAACCATTGAGGAGCTCTAAAAATGCAAAGTGCACCTGGTAATGCCCCAGCTCTGGATGGAAATAAAAACAGAGGGGCTTGGAGCAAAGACTGGGTCATTTCCACTTCAGGGAAGGAAAATAGGAGGAATAATAATAATAATAATAATAATAATAATAATAATAATAATAATAGTAGTAGAGTTTTTTAAAACCACAACATCTAACAAGTGTATTTTTCTATTGCCCTTTTTGACTGGTACACAAAGCCTGGGCTTGACTTGCTTTGTTGACCGAAACTTTAATTCAATTTAAATATCTGGAAAACTCAGTTTCAGAACAGATACACCAACAGTAAATAAAATAAATAAATATCTCCTAGAGTGAGGTTTCCAATCTCATTTTCCACCTATTTTTTCTCATTCTGGAGCACAGACCACGCCAAGGACTCTCAGCTGCTGGGATCTGGCAGGAAATCATTAATTTGAGCAATTCCCCTGATTTACATTGGTGAGAATCTGCCCTGATGGTTTTAATCCTGGAATATTTGGAATTGCTGCCCATTCCCACCACTCTCCTGGTCCCATCTGCAAGGACAAGAGTGGCTGGAATTCCTTGTGCATCCTGCCCAGCCCAGCCACTGTGATTTACCTGAGGGGAGATTGGATTCTAAATAACCTCCTGGAGGTTTTATAAAGCTTTGTGTTCATTTTAATATGCCTGCATGAGATGAAAGATAATCATTTGGAATTCTGTCAAAGGCCCCTCTGATTTTATAACACAAGAACAATTGCCTGTGATTTTCAAAGACACACAGATCCCTCTATTTCCAACAGTTTCATTTCCTTTGGAAGGAAACTGCCTATTTATAGGGAGAAAAACCACACTGAAAGTGTCCCTCTGACAATAGGGGCTGCAGAGAAAATTATAGCACTGCCCAGCCCAGGGGGAGATTAAAATCACTTTCCCTCCTTCACATCAAACTCTCGGTGCTCCCAGGAAAAAGATGGAATGTTTAGAAGATCCATTTATAGCAGGTTTTCCCCTGGATTCCACAATTTGAAGGATAATTAATATATCCAGGTTTTTTAATGAGGGAAGTTTTTATCACTTCCATCTATAAACAAACCATCTGTTCTATTAAAGTCACATATTTCATGTAATTTTCATTGCTATCTTGTCTTTCAAGACTTAAAAAGCACTTTGCAGTCATCAGTTAAATCTCACCCACAGATCCATAGGAAAATCCACTTTTAAAATCAACATGGGATTGAAAAAACAAATTCCCAGGATAACACTGAAAAGTTATGGCAAAAGTGAAATGGAAAAGGAAGATTTCCACTCAGTTCCTGCACAAAGAGAATTATTTCACTGAGGACACTTCTTTGAAAGAATTTGAATTTCAAACAATCCTTGTAGCGCCCTGTGGGACACAAGAATTAAAGTGAAGGTGGTTTTTTTTCAGAGTACACTAAAACCACAGATAAAAACCATCAGGCCTGAGTGCTGGTGGGAGTGTCAGGCTTTAAAAATGTCAATATTTAGAACTTTCACTGATAGACACAGAGCTCAACAAACACACATGGGAAGAACTCATCTCCCAGATGTCCAAAAGTGCCTGTGAATGCAGTTTTACAGAAAAAACAAATAAATAGATGTGATTTTGTTGTGGAAGCACACCAGAAGTATAAACCACTAAGCAAACACAGCCAGGAACAGGCTGATAATTCTCTATATAACAACCAAAGCGGGTTGATTGTGTGAGGAAATCCCGCACGGAATTTTTTTGTTAAACAACTCTAATTTCTTTTTTTTTTTTCTATAAGCCTGCAGGATTTGTTTTGTGGCCACCTTAGGTGATTTCCCCCAGCACCCTGGGGCAGGGATGAAGGAAAGGTGAGCACATACTACTTGCACTTGTCCGTCCTCCCCGATCTGGTGGATCTGGACCTGCTGGGCGTTGGCCAGGGCGTAGTGCAGGGCCTGGGGCTGGTTCTGCTGCAGCTCACTGGAGGCTGACACCGAGCTCTGCGACCCCTCTGCAGGAAAAGACACCAAATTCCAATTTATGGCACGAGCAGCATCCCCCAAAGTGCTCCTGAAACCCCGCAGCAATCAAATCCAGCCCCTGGAATTCGCTGTGCGTGAGGGATGTTTGTACAAACCCACAGAATTCCAGCTGGGAGAGCTCCTGCTTAACAAAAAAAAAGCACATTTTGGGATCTAAATCCCAGATTCTGCAGCTGGAAAAGTCCCATCAGAACAAAACCACAGAGGTTTCCTGAGCAATTCAATGTTTGTGGTCACCCGAGAATAATTTCTGCCACCACCACCCCAAGGACACCTTTAAAAACCCATCCTGCCCATTGTGAGAAATGAAATTATTGTGATAAATGAAAATGATATTATAATTATTAATAATTATAATATAAATAATGATGATAATTTATATATTAATTATAATTTTTAATTTATATAATATTTATAGTTAATATTATTACTTATTAGTGATATTTACTGATTATTCTTTAATTATTATATTTTGTAATTTTAATGATTACAAATAATATTTAGAATTTATAAATAATATTA